TGTCAATTTGGACATGCTGCACATCGTTACATCAGTATCAGTATCAAGTATCACATGACCAAATGAATGATACATAATTGATTGTTATTCGATAGCCTAATTTTTATACAAGTAATATTCATACTGGGTTAAATACACAATTTGGTATTTCACATCTTTGCTGAGCAAGAGTTTCATGCAAAAGGAAAAAAAGGTCCCATATAGAGGCCTGTCCTAGATAGAGGCCTGTTCCAGATATAGGCAGGTTGAGGAAATTCATTAATTGAAGTTTTATGGTACATGTAAAGCTGCTCAGCAACGTGGAAACTGCTTTGTTACTGTCATCAGCACTTTCCTTGAGCTCAATGTGGTGTCATCAAATGTCCAAAACCCCAAATACATTGAGTTTATTATAATGTAAGACAAGGACAAGCCGACCAATTTGAGAACCTGGAACCATCAAATGTTTGATGTTTGCTTGAAAATGGATAGAACTCTAGTCTTGTGCAGAGAGCTAGAGGGGAGATTAGATGGCTGATAGATGAACTCCTACCAGAGGAGAGGATGGAGGTATGAAGGTGACTGAGCCTCTGCACACAGACCAGAAGGAGGAAGAGGAAATGGAACAGTGGCAGAGGACTGGCGCCACCAGAGGAAGAGGCTCTCTTTCCGTGCCTGAAATAAAGATCTCACCCAGACTCTTCCGGCCTTGTTCCATTTTAATCCCTCGACTCTTGCCACTTCCCTCTTAACCCTGAACTGTTACCTCTGAAGCGCCGTTTGAAGTTTCCTCCCCATCAGAGTACAAACAGAGGCATCACCGGGTTTCACCAGAGGTGGGAAGAGACTCAAATACTTTACTTTGGTGCAGTTTTAAGGGTGCGGGGCTAAAAAGGCTTCACCTTCACTGCCTCCCAGAAAGAAATATTGTAGTTTTTTACTCCAATATATTTAACTTCTCTGACAGCTGTAGTTGCTGGTGGCTCTGCCAGGTAACAATCTGAACAATCTTCTTTTCTCTCAATTCACTCAACTTTTCATGTACTTACAAACAGCATTACTTTCAGCTTGAATGTACAGTGAATATTAGACATTTTAGATGGAGCACTTTTGTCATGACTATACTTTGAACCTCAGCTTTTAAGCCAAAGGGCTCAGAAAAAATGATGTGATCTGATCAAAAGCTCCAGAATAGCTACTAAATTGACCTTGTGGTGTGATTGCTTTCTAAATAAAAGTCTTGTTTCAGATAAAAGGAACTCCCTCTCACCATTTTTTCATTTTGCATCTCTAGTTTTGGGGCCTTTAATTATTAATATATTACTATAGAACGTGTTCAGTAATTTGACAGACTTTCGGTGCTGGAGTACATTTCAATGCTAAAACATTCACTTGAAATTTACTTTTTTGGGGTAGTTTTATGAGAAAAATGACTTAATTTGTAGTACTGTTCTGTACTGCTATTACCTGGATAAACGCCACTGGTTTTTATCTTTTGTACAAACCCTTATCAGCTTAAACGTTTTCCACAGGGTGGGAGTAGAGAGAGGTTTTCCTCAGCAGTCTCACATGGTTTATCTCAGGTGCAGGGATTGAACTCAGGGAACGCTTAAACAATTATCTGGCTAAGCTTTACTTTTGCAACATCCCTGCTGAGTGTGGGCTTATCAGGGAATTTATACCAGACAGAGAAACAACAGGCTGAAATGCTGCAAAAGTAATGCTCACTGACCACAAATGTAGAACAAAATCTCAGCTGTAAAGGGAGAAATCACCAAATTCTGCCTATCTTTGGACATGAGACCACAGCACTGGTGTGGGACAAGCCACCCATTCCTGTAAACTTCACCGGGAAGTGAGCGCCGGTGCTTTGTGCACCCAGAGAGGGGCCACGCTGACCCCATTACACGAGCAGATATCTTAAATGTTTGCACATGTGGACTGTGATGCTGTTTGCAGCCGTTGAGCTGCTTAGCAGGCCCCCAAAAGCCCTCAGGGACCTTCTTTTTCTTCTCTTTTCTCCCTCCTCCTCCCCTCTCTCGCGCTCCATCATTATCGCCCACATGCTTTTCCAGAGACATCCTGAGTGAAACAGCTCGACGTCCTCGATGGCTATCACATGTTCCTGCTGAAGAGGGAGGCAGCAGGGGAAAGACATCTTGAAGAAAATGAAACAGGGTGTACTAGGCTGAGGTTATTTTCTTTGTGCTTTCTTTCATGAAATACTTCACAAAGAGTTTTTGCATTTAACTATAGTTTTTAAAACATAATTAGAAACAGATTTTTTTTTATCCCCATGAAGTCATAGCAATTTTATTTCTCTCTAAAGATTCTGTGTTTGTTTTTAAAAAACCTGTTTAGGGACTTTATATACGGCTTTAAACTGTCTGTCTTATGTTTATGAGTAAGGGACTTATTGAATAAGGGACCTGATGACTATTTGTCCCTCTCAAATGCAATTTTTTACACTTGTTATGACCCTTTCTTCATTACCATGCACCAGCAGGTCAACATTGGACTTTTTTCCTCTGGTTTATGACCAACTACCTGCAGAACTGAAGACATATCCATCAGCTGATCTTTGCGTTAAGTGCTAAGCAAATGTTAGCATGCTAAAACACTAAACTAAGATGCTGAACATGGTAAACATTATATAAGCTGAACATCAGCACGTTACCATTGTCAGCGAGTGCGTGTTAGCATGCTGACAGTAGCATTTAGCTCAAAGCACAGCTGTGTACAGCCCCACAGAGACGCTAGCATGGACATAAACTTGTTTTAGTTTCGCCAAAATCTACACCTGTAAATTCCTTTATTTGTGATTGCTTTTCATGTTCTATCTCATCGGTGTCCATTTACAGTAACCCTTTGATGCATCGGATTTGATGCACTGATAGAATACATTAATAAAATGGGCAGAACATGGAAATAAATTATGACACATGCAGCAGAAATGCTGCGGTTTGTTTGTCTCATGGGCTTTTTTTGTTTTATACCAGATATTTATGGTGAAGTACTTCCGAGAGTAAAATTAAGCAGCAGACTCACGTGTGGTTTCACTGTTTTCTCTCATTTTATTGGAGGCGGAAGGTAAGACACACATTTCACTTTAGTTTTCTCACAGACCTGGCCACCCTTCAGTATCTACAAAGTACTTCCTGTTCCTTCTTGAAAGCAAGAGCTACATCCATCGTACATGTTAGAAACAGTTATTTTTAAAAAACAAAATAGAAATAAAAATGTACAACATACACTTGATATATATAATATAATTTTTGCTCTTTTTTTTACAGAGGTAAAAATACTAAGCGTAAAAAATGGGTCTAATTCATTACAGGGAGTCGTTTCTTTAATTTTTCAATTTAAATACACAAGGAGATAAAGAGGATGCGTCCAGGCA